TATGGAGCCTCTTGGTAATTGCAGCAGCAGGCCTCAGGGACGGTTTTGTTTGGGCTTATCGGGCCTCACGTCCTGTCTGGCTGTAGACATGAGCTTTGTTTTTGGCTTGAGCTGCTTTGGGGTTTACGATTTAGGGTGTGAGGGTTTGAGGTTTAGGAGTTTAGGGGTAGTATGCTCGAATCGTTTGAATTTGCCAGCTGAGGTAAGTTGAGTGAGACCAGAATTAAGCACCGCAACAAAGTTTGCAGAGGGCGTCTTATGCTGCTGCAAGGAAGACCTGTTGCCCAGCACCGCACAAGTACCAGGAGGTTGAGAGCCCGTTTACTCCAACAAAAAAAGTTATCCGATCCGCAGGTATTGCTTATAAGGACATCCGAACAAACTTCAGGCGTGAACCCGCTAAAGCACCAGGTAAGCCTATAGAACAGGATGAACTGGTCATCCTTCAAGGTGAGTTTCGCCCAAAGAAGCGAAGCAAAGCAGCGTACGCCGAAGAGAAAGTCGCAATGCGCCGTCCTAAACCGTACGAGTACACCATGTGTTTCAGCAACCCTCCCGTCTCTGGGCCTTGATGCCAAGACAGCAGTCACCCTCTTGCGACTTCACGGCCTACCCAGAGATCCCAGATCCAGAGAAATCCAGTCAAGGAGATGGTTTTGGGCTTATAGGGTTAAGGGGTTCAGAGTTTAGGGCTTGGAGTTTACTCCAGAGTGCGGAATGCTGTCATGGTGAGTTTGGGAAATACCCATAGTTCAGGCTTAGGAGACGTGACATGGGCAACTCCCCAACCGCATAAACCTTGATACGAGTATATACTAGGTATCGATTTCAACGGTCCCCCGACAATTTTGTATTTGATTTACGCAATCAGGGGAATTAACAAGTATCCCAAATCGGTACCTAGGATAAGGTCTAGGATTGGCGAGGTCCAGGGTTTAAGGGGTTTAGGGTTTAGGGTTTTATGGCTGAAAGGGTCTCAGGTCCCCGCACTACCCTCGAGTATTTCCGAAGAAAACGCACTATGAAGGCATCATAAGAGCAAAAGGAAAGGGCACCTTCTGGGGTCGTGGCAAAGGCTTAGGCTGAGAGCTTCGAGGTCAAGCCATATCCAGGTACCAGCGGTGAATGCGATTTTGCGCGGCCATGATGACTGCAAGGACTCGCGGTCTCTGGTTGCTTACGGCACTGCCACGAACTTGTTGGGAAGTCCTGGTCATCTGACGGAAAAACTGATGCTTCAAGGATGAGAACGAGCTCGCCATGATATCGAGAATTGCAATGGGGTATACGGCAAGCTGCCGTGCACTTGCCTGCGAAATCAGCACCCAGGCATCTTGCTCCGAAACTTGGCTGCATCCTCCATCCTCGAATCTGCTGAGAGCAGCGAATGACGCTTGGCAGATCGCGGGCCCGCCGTGGCACTGAATCCTAACTAGGTTCCTGAGTGAACCCTTAATGATAAGGGACCCTTTTTCCGATGGAATAAATATTGCACCTACGAATACCGCTATTGCCATCGCTAAAGATGCGTTTCCGCAAACCTTCCGCCACACTTCCTTCCCAAAACAGAACTAGTCCGTACTTCTTACACCCTCATCCTGTCCCGGAATCCCTACTTAGGCAACCCAGGGTCTTCTTTTCCGGGCCCCAGGCCCTGAACCCTAGGACCCCATATTTTATACCAATAAGAACTTGGGCCTTCAACCCTAAAAACCCAAGACTTAAAACCTTCAACATCTTTCCTGAACGCCGTAAGCCCCAACAATCCCAAAATCCTCAATCCCCAATGCCCGACAGCCCGAAGCCCTCAAGCCCTAAACTAACCTAGGTCAGGTGACGCACGATCTCAAACCCGACAGTGCGTAACCCTTTCGATGAATGAACATTAGAAACTCTTGCATGAACCCAATGCCGAACGCTTGCAAGCCTAAACCCCTAACCCCAAGCCCACTGAACCCCTAGACCCCAAACCCCTGACTGAGCCTCAAGGTCTGGAGAGTCGAAGAAGATTTTCTGTGAGGCGAAGTGGTGCTTCAGCGGAGCGCCAACCTCCTTCGGTAGGCTTTAGGGTAAGTAGGACTTAGGGGTTAGGTTGAACGTATGGGAAGCTTTCATTCTGAAGGGCGATAACATGGCCGACAGAGGCCCGCACTAGTAGACTCCCTCTCACTGCTTCACGCCGTTGCACAGCCCTTCCCACATTAGGGCCCCCTAAAAGCACATAAGCAAAACATAGGATAGGGATATCCCATAATTCCCCTTTTAAATGAAGCCCATTAAGCTTTAAGCTAGGGATACCCCAACAAAATGCTGATACTTGTGTCCTTTGTTGGGTTCCAAACACACGGGGGGTTTGTTGCAGAGTTTGGGATTCTGGAACGGGTCGTTTACCAGTTCCTTTAACGGGTCGAAACGGGGGCACCATAGGGGTTCTATCAGAGTCAGACGGACTACCGGACTACTAGGTTACCAGACTTGGCTCTGACTACTACCATATGCTGTCTGCATTAGGCTTCTATGTCAACCAAGAAAGGAAACAATTAGGTGTATGAGAGTTTCAGAGATCAAAGGACCCCAGTGCAGCCCTTAAAAGTAGAATCCTTGCTAGAAGGAGCCCTGGGTTGATTTGCTGACACATCAGCCGCTTGGGCCCTGGGGCTCGAGGGTTTCAGGGGTTTGGGGTTTATGGTTGTAGGGTGTGAGGATTGAGGGTTCGAGGCCAGGCATGTAAACCTAAGCCCTAAACCTTAGGGGGTGGCCTTAGGGTTTATTAAACAACAGGTTAAAAACTCACTTCTGACCGGCAGTCCTGGTGGGTGAAGTTCTGGTACTCGCCGAGCTCGGAGAGTGTACTCTTGTGGAAAGGACCCTGGCCAAATTCGCCCTTAACACTCCCATAATCCCTTTCATGAGAATAGTGTAATTAACCCCGATACCTGTTCTAAGTATAGGCCCTTTGGAGACTAAGTTAAGGCCCCCCAAATATTTCCCGAAATGTAAGCGACTTCTGGATGCCGGTGAGGAGGTTCCTACTGCCGTAAAGTTGGGAAATGTTGGAAGCCCAACGTCCTCGCTCATGGCCCAGGACAGAATTTCTGAGTTTCGTTCTTCTGGTCTCCTGTCACCCCTGAACCCCAAAACGTTAAGTGTTTGTACCTCCCGGGACAAGAAACCCGCACATATCCCACAACTAAAAGGTCAATGCAATTGCTTGGTCCAGGTAACATGCCGGAACCCGGTGCGGTTTCGGATAGTGCGGATGAAGATCCAGGGAGTAGGATTCAGGTCTGGGGTCTGGCGCGCCATAAGCATCGGTTTGGGCTTATACGCCTTGACCCCATGCTTGCAATGCAAATAACATGATTGTTGGTATTCTGACTACTCCTCCTATGACTGTCACGATGGCCTTCAATCGTTGGATCTACTGCTGTTGCTCTTGCTGGCAACTGTTTTTGAAGACGAGACCCGGCCTGAAGCTGGGGGACTTTGAGACCAAGGGAGTTGTGCATTTGGTGTCAGGCCTGCGGGATCGGGATACATCCACGAAGCACACATAAGGACCTGGGTATTGGATTGGTGTCTATAGACTATACTATACTATGAACCAGGGTTGGCAATTCGGATTCTGGATCAAGCAGTTCGGAATGTGGGCCTAAAGTCACAGCACCTGACAGATTCACTCAAGCATCCTCCCAGCCGGAGACGAAACAGCCCGCTCCCTCCAGTGACTCCAGTATTACACAAGCCCCAGCAGGAAATGCACACCTGCACGGGCACACACTGGGCAATGGGCACAATGCCTTGTGAGATAAAGCCTAGCAGGGGGATCTTCGCGCCCCTTCGAGAACCACGGCCCGCCACTCCTCGCCGGGAATGAGCTCTTTTGGAGCAAACCTGAAATGCCAGGAGGCACTACGGCCAAGTCCCTTGCAGATGCGTGCAATTCTGTCTTTGGAAATCCCCGTATGTCTCGCCGCAGCGGAGATTGAATCAAAGTCCAGCCAGGGCCGTGTAGACGAGTCGGATGCAATACAGCAGGCTTGCACTTCCTTTCCAACGAAGGGCTTGCGCATATCCCTTGGCCTCATTTGCCAAGAGTGCTTCGAGTTCTGCGCCGCAGTGACGTATTCTAAGTTTTCCAGGCGGTTGTTCCCTCGATTGAGATCTTTGTGGTTGACCTGGGTGTCTGCAGTGTCTGGCTGACCCAGAAATGTCGCAGCAACTGCACGGTGCACAAGCATATACCTGTAGGCTCTTACAAAGGCATAGTAGCCATTTCTGAGGCGAGTACCGCGGCTCGCAGTTCCGACACGGGCTTGCGAGATCCGGCCGTGGTTGCTAACCATAAGATTTGGGATGATGTCAGGCTCTCCAGGATATCGTCCAGCCTGCCAGATCTCAGCAGGGAGCGGGCTTTCCTCATCTGACGGGGCTGCGTTGAATTCGTACCAAACACCATTTCCAGAGGCCCTTCTGGCGAAACCATTGAGGCACCTTGAGACAGAGCCCGTCGAAACACCCAGCAGCCTTTCGGCTTCCCGATGAGAGGAACAAATTGACCAAGTCTCTTCACCACAGGGCCGCCATACGATTGGACGGCCCAGCTTGGCCGCAGCGGTCTGCCGACCCAGGTTGGTTGCCCAAGAATGCCTCTGATTCTCCGCTGGCGTCACATACTGCAGGTTGGACAGGTGGTTGTTCGAAGGGTCACCGTCCAGGTGATTTACCTGCCAACAGTTCGGATCTGCTGGAGGACCCAAAAAAGCTGCAGCCACTAGGCGATGCACATTGTAGAGTTTGCCGCCAATACGCGCCTTGCGATACCCGGAGCAGGTAAGGTATCCATTATGAACTTTGCCGGTGGTATTCGAAACCCGACCATGAGAGCTCACTTGCCAACAGTCCGAGGCACATCGCACTCCCCAATCTCCCCAACCGAGAAGCCGGAAAGACATACTGCCAAATGCTGGCTGCCTCATGGTCCATGAAGCGCACACCATGCTTGCGAATCTTAGAGGTCACGCGCCTATGATGAGGCTTCCGAATGAAGAATCGCCAACGAAATTGCAGCACTTCAGCCTGCACGTGGCCATTCGAGTTTGAGCATGACGCCAGGTTCACACGGGCCTTTACCATGAGAGTTAGGGCCGAGGTTGATTCGAGCTAGGCCTGTGCAGGATCCACAAGGAGCTTTTGGGAAACTATGCAGGGCTTTCATCCACAGCCACGAAGTCCTGACGCTAGTTTAAGCATGTGTAATACACCCCGCTTATCAGTAATTAATGTAGGGGCCGTAATAATTACAAGGGGGTCTTCGGGTCCAGTATACATTATATAATTATCATAAGGAACCCCCAACATAATATAGGGTAGTAATTTAGGCCCCTTTATATTAACCCCTAATGGCTGCCCCCCTCACCTGGCCTTCCCGAGGATGCCCGAGGACATGTCGCCCTCCTGCCTCTTGAAGTTCCTGTCCGCCTCTTTGGGCTTAGGGCTTTTGGAGGATCTTAGGGCTTGAGGGTTTAGGGTTTGGGATGGGTAAGGGCTTTTGGAGGATCTTCGGCCTTGAGGGTTTAGGGCTCAGGGCTTTTAGGATCTCAGGCCTTGAGGGCTCTTAAGGCTTTTAGGAACATAGGGCTTTTAAGGCCTTAGGCCTTGAGGGTTTTAGGGCTTAAGGCTTTGGGGTTTACTGCACTGGGGGGTGGGTTCACGGTGGAAGACTTCTAGGATCCAGGAAGTTTGGGCTTATGCGGTTTTCTAGGGCTTACGGTTTAAGGCATAGTTAGGATTAGGGGACCCATATATCAGGACGCTAAGTTGGGAGTTGGGATCACACCACCTACCTTGGTCCTACATTTTGAGGCCCCTGAGAGCTTCTAAGATTTAGCGCTTGGGGCTCCAGCCTTGCTAGGTCTTCGCGGCTTTTGGACTTCAGAGGTTTAGTAGAACTTGTGATCTACCGGCTTCAAGGCCTGCCTGCCGGCCCCAAATCCTACATAGCAGTAGGCTATGACGCCATAGTGAAACGGTAGGGTATAGCTCCTTAGAAACACTCCGTGTGGAGAGTTGTCGCATGAACTACTTTGGATCTTGCTGTAGCAGCGTGGTTCTGATCCCTAGATCACAACTTGCGGATTTGTCGTTTTCGGCCTGGCAGTTAGCTCTCTAAGCTGCATGCCGTGATCCCTGGCCTTGCTTTACGGAAACATTCCCAGAGCCACTACGAAATCTTGACGCCATTTCTGGCGGGTACTTCGGCGCCGGAACATGCGTGCTATAGCTCCTGGAACCTGATTTCATGATTCACATTTATGGTAGTTGCACTCACCCAAACCCCCCAACTCATCCACACCTAGAAGGGGAAGGGCGGCATTGAAGTGCACGAGAACTACCCACTCTGCATGTTCAGGGCTTCGGACAACCCGTAAACCCCAAACCCCAAGTACCCTAAACAGTTGCCATCGAAGCCTATGGAAGAGTAAACTGCGCACGTGAGCACCCCGCACCCGGACCTCCGGTACCCGGGCATCTCGGTTCAGCTCAGCTGCTGCCACCACCACCCTTCCAGCTGCTTTTGCTAAACACTGCCAAGGACGTTTATTTTGAATACGCCCTCCTTTGCCTCTTTGCTGGAGGACTGTCTAGGGTTTTAAGGCTGAGGGCATTTGGGGTTTGGGGTCGGGTGGGTGGTTCTGGGAGTTCTTGGGCTGCTAGGGGCCGTGAGTTTGAGGGGCTTCAACTGTCTTTGGGTAGGCGGGTAGGTAAGGCAAGCCCATTTAACAGGGGCTTACGGCTCAAATACCAAATCCTTCAGTGTCCACAAAGGCAGCGTACTCAAATCAGCCTGACATGATGCTTTCACCCACGCCCGGAGCCCCTAACCTTGAGCCCCTAAAAACCTAAATCGGCTTTACGAGGTCCTACGCAATTTTAAATTCATGAAGGGCTTAAGGCTTAGGACTTTTTTTGGATACTCCTGGAACCTTAATGAGAAGCCTCATCATCTTGAAGGAAGATTCCTCTGCTTCTCAAGACAGCCGAAGTGAACAGCTCCGAACGAAAGAGAAGCCTGCAATCCTGAACCACTCTTCCCAAACCAGAAATGGAGTGTTCTCCGAAGTAGAGAGCCGTTTGGGATCTCCGGAAAAGTTTTGAGAAACTGAAGCAGGGGTCCGACATAATCTTCAGAGCTAATACGGAGGCCTTGGGCATTAGTAGCATAGGGTTGGGCGGGGTGCAGAATAGTATGGTTACATGGGAGAACCAGCGGGAATAATAATTACAGGAATATTAATTATTGCTCTTTCTTCAGGCCCCCTTCGTTAGCCAAACTCGAGAACTTCCCTGTGTGGCCTCGGCCTGTCTCCCATGTCCACCTGCATGATGTTGACACAAAAACACCGCCCTGCTGCTACGAAACCCTGGTACAGATCGGTGACTATAGGCTATAGGACACCAGGGGGCTATCCGGTATTTTTGTGGTCTTATGAAGTCTTATGACATGTTGCAGGGAGACGGTGCCTACGATACAATCGGGGTTAATGGTTGCAACAGGGTTGCGGCGTATATGCGACTAGAACTATAACAAAGAAGCTTACGGAACAGCACAAACCTGTTTAGACCAACACAATAGCGAAGTTGTTCTTTAGGGTATAGGGTTTGGGGTGTAGATTTCTGAGGTACGCAATGTCAATCTTTACTTTTATGTCGGAGGCTCTTATCTTGACGATACTCCCAACTGGGCATTAAGGCCAGGCTAGGGTTGGGGGGTAGGATGGAGTGTAACAGCTCATCTCTAACCTCCCCTAGCACTATGCAAATCTCGAAACCGACTAGTGGGAACCCTCTTGCCTTAGGATGATGCATTCTTGAGTGTTGGGCTATGGTCTCAACTCGTCAATGATCCCATCTCGGCTTCTGGGGGTTTGGGGCTGAGGGGCCGCGCATCAGGGACAGCGTTTGCAAATCATCCACCCACCCGAAGAGCATATGCTTGGCCACAAACGCCTATATAGAGAATACTCAGGCCAAAGTACATACTGTTTTGGTATATTATATTGCAGGGTCTTACATCGTTTGACATGTGCAAAGGACGCGAACCTTCAAAACCACAATTTGACTGCAATGGCTTGCAAACAGTCCTGCCCTAACTTCAGGACCCTGAACTATGGGACTTAAGGTATGCTTCTCACAATGCGTGCTGTAGGATTCTGTCCATCCATAGCAGTAGCAGCCTTCTACGAATTTGTTTGGTGCCTTTTGATAGCTGTTGCGTGATGCTTCCGTTGGCTATGCTAGCGGGATCTAGGCGGCAGCACAAGATGCTCAAATCCTGCGCCATTTAACGCAAATACTGCCTTTCGGCCTCTCCGTAGAAGGAAACAACGCACCAACCCCTGCTGTTGTAGACGATGTGTCCAAGGTTCAGTACAAAGCCCTTGCAAGATATCTAAATCATAAAACGCCCTTTCAACAACAATCCTACCGACTGTTCTTGCCTGGCCCAGGCTGTGGGACGTCGCCGAAAAGTGCGGCGCTGACCTGGGCAAACAGCACCCCTAAGCCCCAAACCCCAGCTTGGGGTTCCAAAGCTTTGGGGATCTAAAAGCTTCAAAGCAAGCTGAACCCATCTAAGCCCTAAACTCTCCTCAACCCCTGAAAACAAACATAGCAAAACCGAACGCAAGCTTTGGAGCCCTCCCACATCGAACATCAGGCTTACTTGTCTAGAGCTTAGGTTTAAACTTTGAGGCCGGGTGACTTCGTGTTTGTTTCTGCATGCTGAGCTTGCTCGATTTAGGCTGCAGGGTTTGGACAAAGGCTTTGGTTGGGATTAAGTCGTGGTTTAGGATTTAAGGCTTGGTTCTGGGTTTAGGGTCTCGGGTTTAGGGTTTACGGCTTGGGCGTAGGCCTTACAACTTAGGTTTTAAAGTTTTGGGTTTGGGGTTGCGTTTGGACCCGAACCCCTACGTCAACGACTGAAGCCTAAACCCACAAGCCTAAGTCCCAAACCTTAAACCCTATAGACCAGATCCTAGAGCAGGAACCGGAAACCTTGGCCGAGACTTCGCCGCGACACAGCCGATACTACTGACATTTACCCCTAACCTCCCCTAAACCCGAACCCCCCAACAAAACCCCCAAACCCTGAACCCCTGACCTAAACCCAGAACCGGGTGAGGGGTTGAGGTTTAGCCCCTCGCCGCATTGCGGCGTTGCTGGTCGCACGTGCGGTACAAGTTGCCGTGCGTGCGCCCGTTGTTTGGGTTTCTGTACCAAACACCCAGGTTGCTCTTCGATACACCGCACTGCAGGCAGGAGTCGTGGGCCGATTGCCTGCTGCCGGTCAGGTTGCGGTTCTGCTTCTGCCGCTTCTGCTCTTTCAGGCGTCTCTCCTCCTCTCGCCGCTTCTGCTCCTCACCACGGGCTAACTGTAGGATGCGCACGCATCGCTCGAGGCGCCTCACTCGGCAGGAGAGCTCCTGCCAAGCGAACATCCTCGCGTCTACGTCGGATGTGCACGCCTTGCTTCGGGCTTGGAACATCCTTGCCATGCCGAGCTACAACACAAAAGTCAATTTCAGGGGCTGGGGGATCCCGTCTTGAAGCCTCATTGACTCCTCGTCTAACTCGTCCGAAATCCTGGCTCTAGTTTTAAAGGTTTTAGAATAAAACATATCCGCAAAACCGCGACAAGGGACACATTAATCTCCGTAGAGATCCACAGCCTTAAAGCCCAGGACTTCCCGAACATCAAACTCAGAAGGCAGCAGGGCACCCTCTCAGCTCTTAGAAGCAAACATCGCGGGGGGGTTGCAGAGATGGCCCTTACCTTAAGGATTCCAAGTATAATTCAACATCATAGTACTTTTGGGGTCTTTTCAGGTAGTTTTACTTTAATTGAATATGGACTACTCGGACCCTTAGCGGCCTTAGCGCTACACACACGATCGGACCAGCCTCCACCTAGCCTCGAAAGCCCCAAGCCTCATGCCTT